ACATTAACAATTTTTGATGAAATATCATGACTTATTGGAGTTTTACCATATGTCATCATATTTATCTTAATTTCAAATTAAAATTCATTAGAAAATAAAAAGATACAATATTTTTTTTTTTGAAATTTACATCAATAACATTTGTTAGAATTTGACGTAGACATGAATCAGTTACTGTTGGTAAATTAATTATTGCAAAATGACGCTAAGAAGAAAAAAAAACAGTAAAATTTTCAAAAATTTTATTTCTAGAATAAATAAAGTTTATTTACGAGTAATCATGGATGAAGTGTGAACAATGATTGATCACCTGTTGATGGTATTGTAGCTGTAGCAAATATCGAAAAATCATCAATTATTCGTCTTTCATATGGTTTTTGTTGTGTTATAAATTGATGATGATCAACAAGTGTTCGAAGAAACTATTAAATCAAAAAATTTTTTATTTGAATTTTTCATGAAAAAAATTGAAAAATTACTTCAGGAGCATTTTAAAATTTTTCTAATCCATTTGTTGTTGATGCTTGTAAATCATCAATAAATAAACAAAGTTTTTTTGCTAATGGAGCACCATATGTAAAACCTTGTAGATGAACAACATTCGCTTCAATAAATTTTTGTAAATCAACAGAATTTGTTGCTTTTGAAAAATTTAAACGTGTTGCAAGAAAATGTGCTTGATCTAAATGTAATTTTTTTTTAAATTTTTATTATTATTCTATTTATTTATACAAACCTAATCCACTAAGAAATGTATCTAATAAAAATGATTTACATGAACCAGTTGTACCAGTAAGTAAAACATTAACTTGTGCTAATGAAGCATATTTAAGAAAATAATGCGCACGAGCTAAATCAACTGTTTGTACAAGTATATTACCAAAAACATCAATGCGATCTTGAATATTTTCGTTAAGTTCATCAACTCTAAAAACAAAAAAAATTTCAAATTTTTTTTTTTTTTTGTATATAAAAATTTTAAATTTATATATTAACTTACTTAGCTGTCCATAAATCCCATTCACAGGATTCATCAACATAATAATCAAAAACAGATATTTCTCTATCATCATCGGGTAAAACTGAAACATAATTTTTTAATACATCTGAACAACGTTTTTGTTCATCAGAATTAAGTATAGCTTTAAGAACAAATGTTAAACTGAATATAAAAAAACGTTCAACATGAATATCAGTTGTCACATGAGTACTATCACGTAGTATAGCATCTAATAAACAAAGACTAAGTGAAAATAAACTTGTTTCAGAATAGTAACTGGATCTAAATGCATCAAAAACAAAACGAAAATTTGAAAAAAAAAAGATTTTTTTTTTTGTTTTATTTGATTATACCGTGAACATTCTTCTCTAAGAAATGTCATTATTGGATCCATAACTTTATCAAAACAAGTTCGAAAACGCTATTTAAAAAAAATCAATAATAGTAGCCTTTTGTTTGTTAAAATTTGTTCGTATTTGAACTTCTAACGGACGTCAATCTTTAAGCCATGCACCTGCAATAACTTTCCAATCAATAACTGATTTATCAAAATAAATTATAGTCTATTAAAAATAGAAAGAAATTATAATTGAGAAAAAAAAAAAAACATTAATAAACGATTGTTTACCGAATTAGCAACAAATGAAGGTGATGCATCAGCTAATGATAATGTTTCAAACATAAATTTAACTTGATCACGTAAAAATAATTTATCTCCATTACGTATTTGTAATGATGATTCTTTTTCTAATATTGATGGTAATAAATCAGCCCATGTTCGACTTATTATTCCATCAAAACAAATCCAACTTGTATGACTATTCTATTAATATAAATTTTTCAAAAACAAAAAAAAATAATTCAATTTGTTAACATGAAAATAAAACTTACTCGATTAGCTTTACGTAACATGGTTGTTAGAACACCATCTTGCCAATCATTTGCTAATGTATGATAACCAAGTAAAACATTTTCAGATTCAATAGCTAATGGGTTTATTCTAAAAAAACAAAATAAGAATTTATTCAATAAATTATTTTATGGAAAAATTAATTTACCGATAGACTTTATGTGTTTGTGTAGCAATTTCTTGAGCATAATTGGATTCTTGTGGTACTGATAAACTTTTTTGCTGTTGAACAGATGTTTGCAATTGTTGTTGTTGTTGCATTTGCGTTAATACATCAACCATTAACATAGCTGCACTTGATTTACCACTATGTGTTGATCCACATAAAATCATATCTACATTTCATAAAATAATATATTTGTGTATATACAATCCTGGACAAAAGTAGCCGCTCCTCATAATCTGGTACTATTCTTTATGATATTGACGTAATATAGTAAGTGCGTGCATACGACAATAAACCCTGATCGCAAACAGCTATAATTCACATTTGTTCTGTCTCTTATAAAAAAGAAAATGTAAGTCAACGAAAATATACATTCAGAAAGGGTTTGTTTGTTATTTTGTTATTGCACAAGCTATTACTACTTTTTTTTTCTAATCTGACCGAAAGTCATTTATGTCTACTTTATTATCAACAAAGCTCATCATACAAAGTTGGAATCTAAGTAATTTGTGCTATCTCGGATAATAAGATCATGTAGTAGAAGTAGCTTGACATCATTCAGTTCTGTGGCTCTAAAAAATTCAGAATACTGAAATTTTCAAATGAATCAATCAGAGTTCTTCTGAGAAAGATCTATCTTGTTGACATTCAGCATTTGCTCTTTATAAGACACTCTTAATAAGAAGACAATATCTCATTTATTTTAAAGTTATTTCTAATGAAATATGAACCGAAGACAACTATGTGACTGGCTCTCTGAATGATGTCCGGGTGAAAATATTTGTATTAGTATGGTTAAGATAAGTTGATGAAAAGAAGAACATGATCTCTGAATTATAACTCCAATATGTGTAAACCGATCGAAGACAATCAAATTCTTGCGGTCAGAGTTTTTTGCCGTACACATGCATTCATCATATCAGCTCAATATCATAAAAACATTAATACTTTATGGAGATAACTCCTTTTTCCAGGATTATGTATAGAGAAAAGAAATAATCATTATTTAAAGAGGAACAAACTTTTTGCAACATTTGCTGCATGAACCATTTGTACACATTTTGCAACCCAAAGCCTTTTCGGCATGAAATCCTGATCAGCTGCTTTATCAATTATAATTTTATCGAGCATAGCACTTGTGGTATTTAATGTTGTCATTTTCGATTCATCTCGTCCAACAAGTGTTTCAAGCACAAATATTCGAAAAGTTTTTGCATGCTAAAAGAAAAAAAGAAATTTTATTTTATTTTATTTGAACGAAAATAATATAAATAAATATTCTACATCAGGATTCAATCGGGCATCAATAACATCTATAAATGCTTGAGCAATTAATAATTGATCAGATTTCGCACCAGCATAAGAAGGTGTTTTGATTGATAAAGAACGTTTAGCATCTATAAAACACAAAATAAGAATTTTATGAAGAAAAAAAAACATATGAAATAATATTACCTTCAATTTTCTGTCCACTTGATGCCATACTAGTTGGTCTTGAACCAGTATGTTTTTTTAGATTATTTACATATTGAAGTAGATCAATAAAAGATGTTAAAGAAATAACTGAACGTTATTCAATCGGTCTAGATAATTTTGTTTTAATTTAATAAAAAAACAAAAAACAAGAATCAAAGTTGATAATGACTTACACATATAATCGAATTATTTCATAGAGAAGTGAAATTTTTTCAGCAATAACATTTGAATTTTTAAAATTATATTCGAAACATTTTATACGAAAGATTTGATCAACATCCGGTTTAACTATTGAAACCATACGAAAACGAGATTGAATTTCAGATAATAAAATTGTGTAGTTGCCAGTATTTGGATTAATAGCAAATGGATTACGTGTTGCTATTATACCAACAGACAATCGAATTGGAATCTATAAGAATACATTCAAAAATAAATAAATAAATAAATAAATAAAAAGATCTTTTAGATATTTATCAAACCTCTTTGCTTTCTGAAGTTATTGTGGCAGCTGAATTATTTGTTCGAAGAGCATCAGAAATTAGTGTTATATATTCAGCAAGGGGAGATAGAACATTAACTGTTAGAGTATGAATATTATTAAAAATACCCCAACATCCATCCTAAATTATTTATAACATAAAATTGACATTTGTAATTATAGAGAAGTATAAACTTACAGATACTAATCCAATTGTAAACATACAAACAGCTGATGTATCAACATGTTGAGAGCATTCAAATGTTGCAACAAATCGACCAAGAAAGCGAGCAAAACTCTATATAAAAATGAATTGTTCTTTTGTAACAAAAATTTTCTTCTATAATAATAGTACCGTAATTGTATATTTTTTTCCTACAGTTGCATTTCCTTGTACAAGAACAGGTCGTTTAAATGATAAAGCAAGCCATATACTAAGAAAACATTTTTCTGTTGTTGATGTAATACATAATGTTTGATGTATTCCATAAAATTCATTACCATAAGAAAATATATCATCCATTACTTGCATACGAATTGGTTCACTATAGCTGCTTGATGACATTACACTACTATCACTAGATTTTGATTCTGATCCTGAAGGAGATGTTTGTTGATAAACTCGAAAACATCGTCGCCAATCGAAATCTTTTTGTGTTATTTCACGACGGCGTGAGCAAAGTGCATCGAAATTCTCACGTAAAAATGCCGCAAACTTTTCATATAAAAAAAATAAAACATAAAGAGAAACAAACAAAAAGTATTTTATGAATATTACCGCAAGAACTCCTTCTAAACGTAATTTATGTATAATTAAAACGGGTTGTGCTGGTGTTTTCCATTGTAAACGTGATAATACTGCTGGTATTTTTTGAATCAATAATGCAAAACGTTTTGAAGCTGTATTTAAACCTTTTCGATCATTTTTACATTCAACAATGCCTGTATCCATTCGTATTGTTTCAGCAACTGATTCTTGTAAACGACTAAGCCATTGTTCCACAGATTTTTGTAATGGTACAGAACGATGTAATGGCATACATTCACCATCATCACTCATTACTTGTATAATATCCTGGTGAGTTATAACAACAAATTCGGCATGAGAACGAGATTCACTTGTAACTGTAGTCTAATGAAAGAGAACAACAATGATAAAAAATTGAGAATAAAAATTTTAATCAGAATTCCCATGTCACACCTTTGTTCATACTACTGTCAGTAAACTGTAGGACTCATAAGCACTAGTGGTAGTGCTTATGACTTCCAGTTCAATCTATAAACAATTGCAGAATAGTTTTTCCTAATAAATATCTTTGTTCAGGAACATCTATAATAATATTTTATCTCATAATTAACGCTGTTTTGGATCATCTGGCTAATACAGGCGGCTTAGGCACATCAAGATGTATGTGACGTATGATGAAGACGACTCAAATCGGTTAGTTTGAAAGAAACTCACAAATCTTCACTCGTTTTCATATAATACATGGTAAAACAACAGTCAAATAAACTGCCGGCACAGCATATATTACATCGATGGTAGTTTCTTGGAAATTATCTAATGGTTTATTAAGATAAAACTTACACGTCGTTCTTCATCTACTTTTGGTTGATCAATATTTGTAATAGATAATTTAAGATCACGAATTCCATTAAATATTGATTGGAAATGTTGTTTTACATAATAAATTGTATCTTGTCGACTTAATAATGATATTAATATACGATTAGTAAGAAAACAAAGACGTGGAAATATTTGACGTTTTCGATCCAAATATAATGATATTGATTTATTACATATTTCTAATTCTTTTTGCATTTCTTTTAATATACCTTTTTTTGGTGGTTCACTCAAACAACATTGTAAAACATTACGAATTTCAGAAGATTGTCGTTGAGTTTTTAACCATGTTTTATCAACACGTACAAATCGTTTAGATTCTAATGATATATCTTTTCCAGCTGATGGATTATTAAATATATTTTCAGCACCTAACCACATATCTTGAACTTCAAGCCATAGTTCAAGAATTTCACTAATAGCTTTTAATTTTTCAGACCATGATGCTACTTCTTCACGTATCGGTTCAATATATCGTGTTGTTAGCATTTGAGCAAGTCTAAAACAAATCATTTTTTTTTTCTTCTTATGAAAACAAAAGAAAAAATAACAAACAATTAAAATCACTTACGTTTCTTTACCATCTTCTAAATGTTCAAGTAAATTTTCAACATAACGTTTCTCTAATAAAATTGAACCATAATCTTTATATGGTTCAAAATTAAGTATTTGTTCAGTCCATTCTTCTTCAATACTACGCATTTTTGTTTCTAATTCAAGTTCTTTTCTTGCTGAAAAACAAATAGCAGAAATTTCATTTTGATATTTATCTAATGATATATCTAATAAATCATTTAATTTAAATACACTTGATTCTAATTGAAATGAACATCCTGTTATTTGCATTACTTTTAACCAATGACGACTACGAATTTCTCGTGCATTTAACATAAATAATAATGGTAATAATTGAAGATATTTTTTTAAATGAGCTTCCAAATCAAAATAAGCTGTCCAAATACGTTCTTGTAATTTTGATGGTAAATCACAAAATTCTGTCCAAAGTTGATTAAGTTCATTTTTACTTTGATTTAAATCAACTTCAGACCAAAGAGTTGCACGAAATGTTGTATCAAACGCAATGAATTTTTTATATAATATATAAAGTTGATCAAGTAATACCAATTCCTATAAATAATAATCGAATATAAATAATATCAAAAAAAAAAAACATTCAAGTAATAATCGACGAAATCAATGAAGATATATAGATAAAAGCAAGCATAGCTAAGCATGCATTTTTTATTTTCTTAATTCTCATCTGTTACTGATATTCTCCTAAAAATATTTTATTTTATATTTTCTTTAGTTTTTTTTTCTTTATTTTTAATGTTATTATTTAAAATTAAAAAGAACAAATCAGATAGTATAAACTTACTTCTCCTGTTTTATCCAATTCAGGAAATTGTTTTTGTTGTAAACTAAATAATGTTGATATGGAATTTAATGTTTGTTTACGTCGATGCATTATTTTATATTGTCCTTGAAAATCTTTTAAACGTTTAGCTGCTTCTAATGGTCCTAAACCTGGTACATTAGGTCCTTCGACATCAAATGAATTTCGAAATCGAATAACTTCAACAACAAATGATTTAACTTGTTTATCTAATTCTTGTTCTAATTGTTGTCGACGTTCCTGTAATAATTGTCTTCGTACACGATCAGCATTTAACATTAATTCTGACCATTTATCACATAATTGTGAACATTCTTCAAGTTCATCACGTGAAATTGGAATCTTATAAACTTCATCAAGAAGTGTATAAGTTGTTTCAATTGGTAAATAAATTGAACTAAAAGAAAAAAAAAAACAAAATAAAAGTAATTCAAATTAACAAAAAAAAATTCTTTTTTTTTTAAATCTTACTCAATTTTATTTTCCATCTCACTTAATTCTTCTAATAAAATTAAAGCTTCATCTAATTGTTCAAGTGTAGATACATCATCATTAAATCTTAATTGTACTTGTTGTCGATAAGCAACAACTTGATCAAGTTCAAACTTTGCAAATCTATGTAATAATTTAGCATATTGAGTCTTCCAACTAAATATAAATGTTTTTAATGAATTTACAATTGGAATCGTTTCAATACAAATACAACCAATTTGAATTTCATGTGGTAATATATTAAGACGTTCTTCAATTCCTATAAGACGTTCAAGTTCATTTTGTAAATATTTACGAACATCTGCTGATGGAATAGCATTTGGATCAACTATTATTGTATAATCTTCATCATTTTCATCTTGTTGAATAATTGTTTGATATTGTAATGGGGAATCATCTCGCCAAAGAAAATCAAATGTACGAATATATTCTATAGCACTTTGAGATCTACGTGTTACATCTTTATCAATTGATGATAAACGATCAATTAAACTAGATAAATGAGTATTTGATTCGATTATTGAAGATAAACGATGAACAGTTTCATTGTCAAAACCAGCAGATTCTAGAAGATTTATTATTTAAGAATATTTGTCTGTATATGAGCATATTATTAATAGAAAAATTATCCGAAGAAAACTAAATATGAAATATGATAGAGTTATTTTTATCGCACTAAGATCTATGCTGATTTCTAAATATTGTCTTGTCTTACAAACTATTGTGAATGAAAATGTTCCATGTTACAAGTTTGTTTGCATTATTGTCATAATATACCAGCAAAAAATTGCCGGTCAGAAGATAGCGGACCATTTCAATATCGAACTGCCGAAGATTTTAGTCGGGTTTGAGTCACATGATATTGACAGTAATTTATAATAGCAGAAAATATTCAATGATGACCTATCATTTTTTTTCCTATTCTCTACTACTATTGATCATCTTTCCGTTGTCTGTGTGCTTTGAGCATCAATTCCATAATATGTGACATGAATATACAAAAAAGAGATAAGACAATTGAGGAGTAATTTAATTATATTTTGAGTAAGTACAACGATGTGGGGAGGGGGAGCGGCGAAGTTTGTAGGATATGGTTGTATACGATAATATGGCTCACGGTCACATGTTTAGACCATCATTAAGGTATTTCGAAACTTGATGTTATTCTACTATCGCATGAACTTCATCGAGTGTTTTGAATATATTCAAAATTTGATATTTATAAGTTGCTTATAAAGAAAATTTTTATCCATCTATCATTAATACCCATCGTCTTTAAAGACAAAAATATTTTCTTTTCTATATCATTATTTTCCAATTTTTATAGAAGTAATCGAAATTGATTAAGCTTGCTATATTTGTTCTTCCCTCTTTCATTCTCAAAATCACTATTATTCCATATTTAAATTGTTATCTATATTTGTTATTAATTACTTATTATTTGTAATCTTTTGTGCAAAATATAGAAATCAATATCAAAGTCTTATATATGTAGTAAGAAATATTTTTCTTGTTTCAAGGTTGACTACTGATAACAATCCTTTTTCATATAATAAAACATATATTTCAATGTTCAATTAATTTAGTAATAATTTGCTCGTGATCAAAGTTAGATTGAATAAGGTAGTCTTTAAATTAAAAAACTTTTCAAATGATTTCATGAATTTTCTTAATATGAAAAGAAGATTTATTACGATTAAAAAAATTAATTCTTTTTACTAATATCTTTATCTTAAAATACTCTTACCACTTATTTGTTTTTCACAATCCATAATTGCACGAGCAACATCGCAAATACATTTTTGACATGAACTTAATTGTGGATCAATAATTATTTCCGGTATAGCATATTGCATTGTACAACCGATTCTATATTAAAAAGGCAAAAAAGAAAAAAAATGAAATAAAAAATGTTTTTATTAATAATGAAATAAAATAAATATACCTAATTCGTTGTGTATCAACATTTAATTGTTCATCAATATCTTGTCCTTCAAATAGAAATCGAATTAATTTTGTTTGATCAATTAAATATTTTGTTTCTGTTATCGAAACTAAATCAATATAAGTAACTAAAGTTCGTTCAATTATTTTTTGTATACAATAATTCATTTTATCATGATAATATCTAACAAATTCCATCATAACTTCATTTGTAACAGCCGGTGTTGCTGTTTTTACTCGTCGTGTTGATGATGTTGATGAACGTGATTTTGATCCAGTTGAATTTAATTTTAACATATCTTCAACTTCTTGAAATGTTTGTTGAATTTGATGTAATTTTTCACCAATTAATATTGATTGTTCATTTAAATGTAAACGCATTTTTTCAAGAAATTCTGTTGGTGTCCATAATTTTGAACGAATATAATCAATTGAAAATAAAAGACATGATGAATTCATTAATTCATTATCAAGTATACTATCAATTTTTTCTGCTATTAACGTATTAATATTTGAAATTGATGTCTCAAAACGATCAAGTGCACGATGAACTTTAGCAATATATACATCAATATTAAGACTCGACCAAGTTAATGTATGTAGACCAGGTTCAAATGCTCGATAAACTTGCGATAAATGACTTGTAAAAAAAAGGTTAAAATGGTGGATAAATTCGAGATTGTAAATAACGAAAACGTGTAAGAAGATCATCGAGTAAAGATTTGTAATGTTTAAATGTTTGTTCCTATGAAATCAAGAAAGAAAAACAAATATGAAATTGAGAGAATTTTATTTATATCTAATAAAAACATTTCTATGTTAATTTATTCTGACGTTTTTCAAATAAAATATAATATTATTTTTTTTAACGAAATTAGAATATTTAAAAAAATAAAAACAAAAAGTTTTGATGAAAATATTTTTAATAATTGGATTTCAATTCATGAAAGAAAAATGTGAAGTTTATTTTGTTTAATAGTAACTCTATTATACGATAAATATAAATATAACTTTTACAAATTTAAATTAGTTTAAAAAAATGGATCATATTCATGATTAAGATTGCAAAAGAAGAGTTCTCATTTATAAAAGAGTGAACTTTTACACAGAGATATAGAATTTACTCCACAATGAACAATAATGTGAATGTTTCGTGATAAAACAATTTTCCAATTTGAATGATGTCTAAGATCCTTTGGTCAATAGCTGACGTTTTGTTTTAAAAAACTATTCTAGCTATTAAAGAATTTCAGAAAACTCTAGGTTCAAAAATTGACCAGGTATCTATCATTTTAAAGAAACGTATCCTTTCGCCAAAAACAATAGAAAGACCTACAGAATAAATCTTAGACTTCTTGCTCCATCGTTCTATATGAACAACGTTGTTGTAAAAGTTTCTCTGTTGGAAAAGATATGCATGCTTTCTCATTCAAGAGGTTTCTAAAAAGTTGCGTTGAGTATAGTTGTAACACACACAATTTAGTACAGCTTCAAATTCGATGAAACTTTCATAGGATGTTTTTTCTCTATTTAACATGTATACTCAGTTAGGATTGATGCTTCTTAAACAGAGATACTGGTTTTTATAGATTGTCACGTTCTGGTTTCAACATGCTCGAAAGGATACTCTACTAATGATATGCAGCAGGCAAAGAAAGTCATGACTCATGTACGAAGATTAATAATGATAAATCATTCTGTAGTAACTATAATTTCAATCAGTCTTATTTAGAGAATTAAATCCTATCTAAAACATAATTTTCATCAGAAATGATTATTAACAGAGATAGGATCAGTTCTTGACTTTTTTTTTTGAACCAAATCGATCTCATGTCTGGTTTCTTTTTTTTCTCATATAAATTTTTTTGAAAGATATTAAATATAACTATTTTAATGATTGAGTCAATGAATACCTTTTGCATGCAGATAAGTGCTGCTTTAGGAATATCTACATCAAGTCGTTTAAACTATTTAACTTCATCAAATATAGAAAATAATTCAATAATTGAATTAATTTTTATACGTTTGTTATTTTCTTCATTATCGTTAACTAAACATAATAGATTAGCATTTAAATGATCTTTCCATGCATCAATTTTTTCTTTCCATCGTGCTAATAATAATTGTTCATAGACAAGTAATGCTTTAGCTGTACGATTATAAAGTTTTGATATTATTGGAAAATTTCCCAATGTAATAATATGTTGATTTAATTTAAATACATTCATTGCTTGTTCAATTTTTGTTAATAATGTACGTGACCAAGCAATAGCAGCTTAACAAAAAACAAAACAATTTTCAAATAATATTTTACCTGATACAGGTGAATCATTTCGAGGTAATAGTGAATTATCTTTATGTATTTCAAATGTTGTTCGAATATCCAATAAATCATTTTCAAAATCTTAATCGAAAAAACAAAAAGTTTGCGAAAAATTGTTTTCTGTTAAATTTACTAAGAAATAAATTAACATAAGCATCACGAAGAATCGAACGGAGATAATTTCGTTCACAAATAGGTTCAAAACTTGCTAAGATAAATAAACCTTCATGTGTACGTTTTGTTTTTGAAAACATAACATTAACATAAGCACCAATTAATTGTTCAATTTCATGTGTTAATGAAGTAAATTGTTTATGAATTAAATCAAATCTTTAAAAAAAAATGATATATGTATAAATAGTTTGTTTTTTCATCTTCATTTGATTGATTATTATTATTATTAGCAGTAACATTTATTAAAATTGTTTTAAGTTGTTCAACACCATTAGCAATACATCCATTTAATGATAAAGAATCATTATCACTATCACAATATTTTTCTTTTGATTACAAAAATAAAATAAAATAAATATAAAGCTTAGATTTTCAAAGACAAAATAACATACTCATCAATTCAAGATCAGTTTTTGATACAGTTGATGTGAGATAATCATTTGTTGTCACACCTGCATTACTACCTCTATCGTCAATACCTTCATCTGAAGCATTCTCAACCTTATTATTATTATCATTTCTTTCTTCTTCTCGTTCTTCTTCGTCTTCACGTTTGCGAGCATCTAAAAAATTTAAACGATCAACATGAATTTCAAAAATCAATCATAGAAATTTATTTCTCGTAAAGATTCAATGGAAAGTAGCATCTCAAAATTCAAGATTTCTACAAAAATAGCTTTATAAAACACGACTTCAAAGGAGTGGCGAAGTGTTCGGGCGTTAGAAATTTGCACTTCTCGCCCCTGAGACCATGATAGAGATAGTACATAACTAATATATGATTGGAACATTATGTAGTATTATCCCGTTCAAACTCTGTAATGTACGTCAATATGCATAAATAACAGCGATTTTTAGAACATTGGAAACAGCAGCTACATCATGTTTCACATTTTCAAATCCGCAAGGGATTACGTTAACAGGTTTTTTAAGAATCCGAACATTACACTAAAGACTTCTGCTAGATGATTGTGTCAATTTAAAAAGAAAAGAACAAAAGTTCACTTTTTTGACATAGAAAATGGTCAAACAATCATTGCTGAGCATTATTAAAAATAATATCAACCAGTTACTTTTTACACATCGAAAAATTTCTTCAAATGACGAAAGACACATGGAGTGTCTGCAAAGTCTTTTGAGTTAGGAGAATTTGCATATCTCTTTTACGACTCGACTAAACAAGCTTAGCATGTTCACACTCCAAATCCGTATGGGGCAAAGGTATCAAGCTTCTTTCTTAAGTATATAAATTTTGTTTCTTTCTGTGAAACAATAAAACTTTTCTTTATAGAATTTCAACTTGCCAACTTTGCTTTTCCAACAAGTTTAACCTTATTTGAGATCTTAAATTTTCTACTCTCTTTGATGCCTACGGATGTGCAGTTTCAGTTTACTGACAACACTGGAACATGGATGTTTACTGATACAGCAGTCAAGTCTCTATTAATAAATGTCAGTGCTCAGTACATCAATGTTTACACTCTAACCGCCCTTCCCTTTCTGATCTGTATCTTAAGATTCCTACTTGTAAGAAAAACATTTCGAACGAATAATTGTTGGTTTTTCTTAACCTATTTTAGAAGCCAGACATATCTAGTCTAGTCAATCTATAGAATTTCATATTAGAAAACAACATCAGAAAAGAACCTTTTCAAATACTGCTATAGTTTTTTTATTTCAAAACGGTTTCTCCTAGAATATTGAATTGTGAATGATAAGTTTTTTTGACTGTGCTAATCATTTCAGTGAGATCATAAAATAGATATTCTTCTTCTACGACTGGCATCGACAAGAAAACTATTTAGGCAACATTCCAGTTTTGAAATTGTTTATCTTTCGGCATACGATAGAATTTTTTTATAATTAGAATATCCCAATATTTAGAAGAATCTTTGTCAGGTCACTTTTTGGTGTATTAAGTGCTTTATCAACTTTGTTACGTTTAAGATTTCCAAACTATTGTATCGATTTAATTCTCTTCAAATCTGTGTTGAAAACAAACTTTTCGATCGAAATTAAATTCTTATAATCGATTGACAGTATATATTGTATAGAAATTCATTATAATACCTGCACGATTAGCAATATTTTTAGCTTCGATTAGATCTGCTCGTTTTGGTTTAGGTAAACGAACAGTTGTAGTTATAAGTCTATAAAAAATTTTAACTAGTAAAAAAAATTTATTTTTCTTTGTCTTACTGTGAAAATTGATTAAGTATAATTGTCATATCAAGCATTTGTTCAAATCGACGACAAAATTCATTGAAATGTTGAAAAATTTTTTCATCTTGTGACATTAAAATTCCACTTGCTTGTCTAATTTGATATCTTGAATGGCTTTGATCTTGTTGATGAGCACTCCTATGTAGAAGAATAATTCAATAATTTATGTTAAAAAATTTTATTTTCGAACTAACGTTGTTTCACTTAATGTTGATGATGATGTTGCTGAAAAAGCTGTAGATGTTAACATTTGTGAACCACCAAGTGCATCACGTAAAGTACGAAATATTTCTTTGTAAGATGCTTGTAAAAGAAGACAATTTTTTAAACGTTGAAATGTACTTTCATTAGTTGAATTTGTTTCTAATGGTATTGATCCTTTTGGTACTTCACGAAAACGCTTTACATCATATATGAAAATAAATCAAATAAATATTATTGTTGTGTGTGTATGTGTGTTTTTTAAATCTACTCGTTTATCAAGATGAAAATTTTCTTTAATGTCATCGATGATTTCACCTTGTAAAATTTCATTAAAAAGTTTTGGTCAAAGTTCTATTAAATCATCACCAATATGATGTTTACAAATTTTAACTAATTGATTAGTAACTTTTGTAAAAATTCAATCTAAATAAGCTTGTCTAGTATAATATCTTGATACTGATTCAACAGTTCTCATGGCATCACATAAAGCAGGTAAAATATTAACAGCACAATTTTGTGGATGTGGATCTTCAGTTAAATTTTCTAAATAACGACGAATTGTTTGAAGAAATTTTGTTTTATCACGACATTTATTTTGTGCTTCGGTTATACTATTTATTCAAAATCCAAAACAAAAAATAAAAAAAACTTTTGATTTTGATGTAATTAATGCATCAATAACTGCTTTACATTCTTTAGATTTTAATTGTTCAAGTAAATTATTAATTAAACATTGTTTACGTGTCCATCGTTCAATTTCACTTAAGAGACCAAGTGATGGATGCATTGAACTATTACATTAAAAATAGGAAAAAATGATTCGAAAATAAATAATAATTTTTATTTTTTTTTCTATATAAAACTTAGTCTTCATCGAATATATCTTAAAGAACATTTTCAATTGTTGAAATCCACGATAAAACTAATGATTCACAATTATGAATAACAGGATTATCAGCAATGGATCGTGCAGTTTGTTTTAATTAACTTATCATTTCAGCATCAACTCGTTTTAATAGCTGAAATGAAAATAAAATAATTATTTATGAAAAATATTTTTTTTCATATGAATATTTTAAACTTCTCAAATCGCATAAAGTAATTAATGGAATTATGAATCTTTCTACCAACGACAAAATGTTTCCAAATCGTATTTTTAATGTATATTTGCATGGGTAGTCAACTAGAAAAAAAAACACAAAGTTATCACAAGATTGTTTTTTTCATCTGTAGAACTTTGAAATGAAAAACAAATTGATATTTATTATTGATATAGAATAATTTCAAAAAAATAAATTTAGAGAAACTCAAGATAAACAGATCAAATTAATCATTTTTTTGCCTCATAATATTGAAGTTTTTGTTGCCATTGAGATATATACATTTGTAACATCTCGAAAAGATCAAAATCGTCAGATCGAACTATGTCTGTTGCAGATGTATTCTAGTGTTTGAATGAGAATGTCAGATTTCCTCTCAGAACAATGCTACATACATTAGGTTTCATTGGATTCTACCTCAACTTCTTTCTAATGACAGTTCTAAAATGATAAGTATATTTGCACTTAACAAATTTAAGTGAACATTTTTTTGTGCATATTATAGGGATCATGAAGTTTGAAGTTTTAATAAAAGATTCCCTGCAATAGATTGACTCGACTTGATACTATATTTTAAATCTTCTGAAATGGCTTTGAAAGTTTAGTTTTGATATAATTTCGAACTGTAAGGCTTTAGTGTACAGAAATATTCGTTTAATGTTTTTGTATGAAAACATCACATCAATAAACTATTTGATGCTTACTAAATTCTTATTTTTTTTGTAAAGAATGATATGTTGTATTAATTCCATCAATATGTCTTTCCATTTGAGCTACTATAGCTGCTTTTGTCAGTTGTTTAATTATAACTATCATTTGAATTAGGTGTTAATTCTTTCTTAAATAATAGTAATAATGTTTGTGAATAAAGTAATAATGTCATTTGTGCTGGATGTTTTATTTCGTATATTTTTAGTAGATCATTTAAACAAAAAAATTTTATTCAAGAAGTTTAAAAAAAAAAATCTGAATATTCTTTTCGATTAATTTCTCTAATTATTTTACTGTCTCATCATACTATTGTATGATGATTATCTCTAAATAGTTTACTTATTGTTTTAGTTTTATTATGTTCATTTTCATTTGATGATAATTGAATTTTTTTTTCAATGACATACATTTTGCATTTATATTAAGTCAAGAAATCAGGAGCAATGATCGACAATACATTCGAAGATATTATATGAATTTTAATCTAAAATAAAGAAACAAAAAGAGATTTATCTGAAGTATTATGTTTGAGAAATATCTTTTAGAATTCAAACTATTCGATTATTTTTTTTAATCATGAAATAAGAACATATATATTGAGCTAATTGTTTTTTATTTTAATCAAATAATGAAAAAAATGAACAGGAAAAAAAAAGAAATTAAAGAAAAACTACACAGATCCAATAGTAAATAAATAAATAAATATATATATATATATATCTGTTTATGTCAACATCACAGTTTTACTTAATGTAACAGATGGAATTATAGAAATGGAACAAGATGCACATACAATAACTTTTCGATTTGGTTCAGGACCACTTGCGTTTGTTTTGACACCATAAAATGATGCTAATTCATGAATTACATGACGTTTATTATATTTCATTGGTGCAAATGAATAAAAGTGTATGAAACGTCGAGCAGCTTGAGTATCTTCAACAAGTTGAGTAAATTGTTGTTCAATATTTTGAATAAATTCTAAATTTTTCTTTGCATAATCAAGTAAAAAATCTGTATAAACATTTGGTATTTGTTGTGGTTGATCACAATCATTGGAGAAAGCTGAAGTTAAAATACTATTTTGTTGTATAACACGACATTCATCATCACATTCTAATTGTGGTGGTTTTCGTGCAAATGATAAATTTTTTATTTGAATTTCTAATGCTTCAATTTGTGATGTTAAATTGATATCAGGATCTTCTTTACCAAATGAAATTGATTTTAGATAACAAATATCATTTTTTTCTTCATTAGTTTCATTGGGTTTAACATTACAAATAATATCTTTTTCTAAATTACCACATGGACATTGAATTGTAATTATTACATTACATATTGTTACTGGACATGGTTCATCTCCATGACATGGTAAATTACATGGATGACCACATATACGTCGTTTTATATTACATGGTTGTATACATTTTTCATCAAATGATTGACATGAACGTTGACATGTATGAATTGTACATGGAAGAAGTTTACCACATGGTTGATTACAAAATACTATTTTTTGACAACATAGAATCTAAAAGGAAATAAATCTTTATTAATTAATAACTGTTAAAAAATAAAACGGATTTTTTACAACAGAAACTAACATATGTTGTCCAGCACACATTTTTAAAATAAGATATAGACAAGGTGGACATATATCGTCATTATGACAAGAATGATCGACAGGATGATCACATTCATGTGTTCGCTTACATTGAACATAACATTTTAAATAAGGTTTACGACATGTAAATTTTGGTTTTATAATTGTTTCACCACAAATACATTTTTTTTCTTGATAAAATAATGAACAATCAGGACAAAAATTGGGATGACATAATTTTTTACATGTACTAAATGAAAAAGAATATATATTAAATATATTAAATTATTATTTTTTTTATTTTATATCAAATACATACTGTATACCACAATTCATTATTTGACCACAGACAGCTTCATATTGATGACGATCAAGATTGCAGCATTTTCGATTATATCTATATAAAAAAAAAACATTTTTTTTTACATTCTAATTCAAGAAAATTACTAACCAATGTTTTCCACAAGATTTGTTTTTTTTGCATAGTTCTTCACATCGAAAAGGATTTGTTATTGGATTATATTCCATTGTTTCTATACATGATATTGATTTACTTGATTTTCCACAACGACATTGAACAATTAATTGTTTGCTGGGTGTGGGGTGTGGGGTGTGGGTGTGTGGGTGTGGGTGTGGGTGTGGGTTGTGGGTGCGGGTGTGGGTGTGGGTGTGGGTGTGGGTGTGTGGGTGTGGGTGGGGTGTGGGTATGAATGAGCAGAAGATTAACATCCACACCCACCCACCCACCCACACCCACCCACACCCACAGCCCACGCCCACACGCACACCCCACCCACACCCACCCACCCACACCCACACCCACCCACACGCACACCCACCCATACAAACTTGCGTAACACATTGAACATCATTGGTCAATTTGACAGAGATTTCTTGATAAAGCATGTTTGCAGCTTTCTAGAACACACTTTCTGAAAAAATAATAAAGATTTTCGCGTTTCCCCAAGGTTATACACATGCAAAATAAAAACATCTTCCAAATATTTTCATTAATCGAAATACAACAGGACCTAACATATCATATATGTTTTTCATTTTGAGTATGAATGAAACCATGAGGAAGAGTCGATTCGAATGTGCTCATACGGCTTTTTGGAGAGCTTTTCACGGCGGATCTCATGAAAAAAATCAAAATTCTACCATTTTGCCTATGCAGAGATATTTGCAAAACTAAACAATGTTTTTTCGAAAAATTTCTTCTTCAAAAACTTGTTTCGCGTTTTTCTCAGAACATGGTTTCGACGGAGTAGCACCAGCGCTTCTCTCCCCCAGTACAATATGAAGCCAAATATTTTTTTTCTGTTTGAAAGCTTGTCTCTAGGACTAGCCTACCTCGTGGTTCTTTTTTCAGAATAAGCCTTTTATTATTATATAAGAGCACATCTCTCCGGAAAAAGCACCATTTTTTAGGAGTTTTTCGAGTCATCGAACTTTTCATCCGTTTTCTTCGCTTAAAAGGTCGAATTTAAAAAGAAGGGCCACAAGGTAGGCTAGCTCTAAAGACAAGCTTTCAAACAAAAAAAAATTGTATATGTAATGAAGGGCCATGGAGATTTTTTCGCGCTATGATGACCTATTTTTTGACCCTTGTTTGATTCATTTCTCCGTCGAACGTCAGTAAATCGAGCTGAAAATTTTACCATAACCTCCTCACTTCAGTCCCAACATATGCTCCAAATTTCAGCCCATTTGAACGCACCTCAGATGAGATCGGTTTTTGAGGGGAGGGGGCCTTAAGAAAACGAAATTAGATGCCGTTTAGTTGTTTCCGTTTGTTTAGCGAGTTCAGTAGCATGACCAAGTGGCGACCACCCTAAATCAGAGTAACTTGAAACAAACATATTTTTTTCTAAATTATAGGATTCTGCACAGCTTCTCGAAATCTTTAGGACGGCACAACTACATCTATTTTTGCTTACGACACAACAAGCAAATAACGCCTGCTAGCATTCACAAATCCTTTACTGGGTGGACTATATTACGTCAAATGTCTAATAAGGAATTATTTTGGTTCAAGAATCAGATTATTTGACAATTTCTGAAGGTGCCTCAACTTCCACTTATTATACTTACGATAAGCCTTCTAAATCAGCGTCTAGTCGTTCGTCGGTCTCCCTCCGGGCGACCACTCACGGCTAGCCGTTTCCATATATGGTTTATTTTTCTGCCTACCATTTATCACATTAGTACTCTGATGCGCAGAAAAAATAGTTTACTCATGACATATCGATATGTAATCAAAAATTTCCAACATTTAAATAATGTTGTATACTTTTCGTCATAGTTTTCAACTTCTTTTTATTTTAACAAAATGATATGTTGCCGAATTTGTTTTCAAATCAGCATTAGTTAAGTTCTTCTGATAATCTCCCTAAACCGCTTCAGACTCATTTCAAAATTATGCTCTAAAGTAACCTTCTAAGTCAACGTCTAGTCGTTCGTCGGCCTCCCTCCGGTCGGCCACTCACGGCTAGCCGTGTCCATATTTAACGCCGTTAAATTGTTCGATATTACTCCAGGTTTGAAGCGAATAGATGCATTTCGTTTGAATTCCTTTCAAAAATTTACTGAGCATATGTTAATACCCTCATCAAGAAGAAACTAAAAAAAAGAGAACTATTTATAAATTGCTACAAATAGAGTACATTACATTGTCGCTTAGAAAAGATTTTCGTCTATTTTAAATGTTATTTTACATTTGATGCCTACGAAGAGTCAATAAGTGGACTTCAAGCGACAAATTCGTTTTCTGCATATCTATGTATAAATCTTACCCAAAGACCTGGCATTTTGTAATCAACAAGGAAAAATACTTATTTTAAAAGCAATCTCGAACATGGATTCGCGACCCTCGACTATCCTTAAGTCGAGCTTAAAATAACAGGGAGTTCATTAAAAGAAGCTTAAAAAACGCCAAAAAGTTGTCGATTAACTTCGAATTTGCTTTTTTCATGCTCGATAATGATCAGTCAAGTTTTATAGAAATCGATGATACATTAATTTATCATTAATTAATAACTACCAATATTGGAAAGCTGACCTCAGATTTGCATTCCTCATAGTCGATTCTCTTTAGTAGAGTTTTACTGGAGACAGTTAATTTTACTGATTATTACTTATTTGATAAAAACAACTGAGTTTTGACTTATCGATCTTCGACTATCTTGGATTAAACTTATTAAGAAAAGTATAAAACTAATTCCTAATTGTTTATTAACTTGTTATTAAAATCACATTTGATTCAGATTCGATATATTTTCCTTCGATTACTTTTCGTAGACCTTTTTATAGACTATCAGAAGCTTTTGATATCAATCTAGCCGACACCGTTTTCCCATTGGCTAGAGTGCACAAACATACAGACTTTAGAATCAGCCATACATGTAGAACTGCAAACTTATTTTATGTTATATCATCTAGCTCATTCAATCTACGAAAAAAAAATCATTATTTTCTTTAAAAAAACCTTCCGCAACCAAAAACTCATTTCAAAAACTTTTACGAAAACTCCTGACAGATTTCTCAGTCTCTGAAGTCTTTGGTCAAACCTTATAGGAAACAGCTTTTTTCGTAAAAAACTTTTTCCTTGTCTAAAAAGGCCAGTCTCAACAACTAATCACGGATTCAGATTCGCCGACCTCGAACACGTTTATTCAAACTTTATAAAAATGTCTTTTCTTGCCAAAAAAAATGATTTCAAACAATTTTCAAAACCAATACTACCAATCGATTCCTCGACTTCGAAAACGTTTGATCAAACTTTATGAAAAAACCATTTTTTTGCTAAAAAACCTCTCTTTTTGGTAAAAACATCTATTTGAAAAAATTTTCAAAAACTCATGTCACCATTCGATTCCTTGACCCCAAAAACCCAAGGTAAAGATTTTTAAGATTTGTGAAAGACTAGTCTAGTTGATATACGCATCTCTGTTTTCTGATTGGTTAGGACAGAGAGACGGACAGACAAACTTTAAGGATATTTACCGCTGTATAACTCTTTCTTTCAGAAAAGGGAATAAACGTACCGAGAATGTTTTGTACTTACGCCAAATAAATCAATTAGGTTTTCGTCCATTTTTGCTTGAAAAATGATTCTTTATTTAATCTAGAAAGAATATATATGTTTCAGTAGAAAATAAAATTCAGTAGAATTTTAAATTGTCCTAGGAAAAATTAAAGGGTTTAGGACAATTACTCGCAAGAACACTTCATGACTGTGAGTGTAAGTGTGGATATGTGTGTACGTAGAGAAGCTCTACACCTACACTAACTCAGATTCACGCCATCATTAACTAAAGCCATCATCCTCATCCTCACTCACACCCGTGAGCAAGTGTCCTGGGAGTAACTGCTCGACTTCCAATAATTCTCGGCCGGATCGAACCGAACCGGCCGTTTACCGTTACCGGTAGCAGGATCTGGTTTATATTATAATAATGACTTGATTTTACTATCTGAAAGAACTGAATTTAATGTCATAATAACTACTTAGCACACATATATATTACATAGAAATCAAAGAGAACAAATCACAATAGAATTAATGATATTTATATGCAAAGAAACATAAAATATAAAGTCGAAATATTTAAATAGAGTATTGAAATTATAATTTTCTCTATTTAATATTTTCTTTCATTTAATATAGCTATCTTCAATAGCAGCTATATCTGCATTTTTTAATATCCAAACATATTGTGCAACATCTTTCAAAGGTAATTGATCAGTTGAATTTCCACTAAGTAACTAAAATAAAATAAAAAACTTTCTCATAAAAAAAAAAAAAAAAAAGATTTTTAATTAATAATAAATTGTATAACATGAGCATTTAGTCTAATAATAAAATCTAATAATTGCAGCAAGATATAAAATTATAAAATCAAGAATAATAAATTCTTTCTTTTATTTTTATGAAATAAATATATGTCTCATTGCTTTGCTTCTTTTTTTAACCATCTGATATTTCGTCCTATTTATTCGGACATTATCAAAGAAGTTTGAGTTGTTGTTGTTGTTTTCTTTTGGTTAATTTATTTATACTTGGATTTGTTTTTTCGTTCCTCATAAAAATAAAAAATAAAAGAATGAATTTATTATTCTTGATTTTATAATTTTATATCTTGCTGCAATTGTTAGATTTTATTAATTTTTTAATTAATTTACTTTCGTAATTAAATCACGAAGATCAGATGACGTTGGAATAGAAAATGTCAATTCAATTGATCGTATCATTCGAATTATTTCATGTTGAGTGTTGACTATCAAATGGTGATTTACCGATAATCTTTAAAAAACAAATAGTTTAATTGATAAATAGAACATAATTACCATTTCATATGTACGAACACCAAGACACCAAAGATCAATTTTTTCATCATAAGCATTCACATTAAACATTTCTAATGGTTAATAATCTAATGTACCAAAAAGAGTTGTTCGTCTTTAACAGAAAAAAAACATTCTATTAAAATAAATCAATTTATCATATAAATCTTACTTTCATGTTGATGTACTTTCAGCTAATCAACCAAAATCCTCTATAATAATAACAGATAACAGGAGGATAATGCTTTCAAAAATTCAACTCATTTCAAAATTCTATATTTTCCAATAAGAATATTTTCTGATTTAATATTTACCAACAGATTAATTTATAATAATTATATTCATAAAATTTTTCAAACATAGCTCTAAATAGAACAAGAAAATAAAAATTAATATATTCATTAATTTATAGTGATAAATAACTTGTTTTATATGTAAATAATTTAAAGCATTAGAAAGTTGATAGATATACTAAAATGTTTAAAAATAATATATAAATTCTTACTTTAGTAACTTCACTTTTACA